TTCAACGATCCAACCGTCAAACATGTTTGTATATACTTCGAGATCGCATAAGCCAAAAATTGCAAAAAACAAACATTTAAGATCAAATAATGGGACAAAACGTTTCGACGGTTATCAACGAAAAATCACGATTTAACAGTTATTTTAACTTCGATTTGGATGATTTTTTACAGCTACACTCCTTAACCTTATTTGAATACAATGAATGAATTCGATCTTCAATTTAAAATATTTACCCTAGTAGATACCACAAAATCTTATGTTATACTTGATGAAATTATAAATAAACTCTAGGTGTTAGTGAATTTATCGTTTTGATGGGATACGCATTCTATGAAAATAATTTCTATGATCCAACCGTCAAAGTTGTTTGTATATGCTTCAAGATCGCATACGCCAAAAATCGCAAAAAACAAACATTCAGAGATCAAGTAACGGGACAAAACTTTTCAACAGTTATCAACAAAAAATCACGATTTAACGGTTATTTTAACTCTGATTTTGTTGATTTTTTACAGCTACACTCCTTGACCCCATATGAATACAATGAATGAATTCGATCTTCAATTTAAAATATTTACACAAGTAGATACCACAAAATCTTATGTCATAATGATCGATGAAAATTGAGAATTTTGTAAAAGGAATTACATTCAAGCTTTGAGTTCCATTGGCAAGGTTTAAACTTTTGAGAAAAGCTTCACAACCTTTAATATCCTTTTGCATATCCTTGCACATTTAATATTTTGTATATCTTTGCACATTTTGCATATCCTTGCACATTTAATATTTTGTAATAGACTAGCAGTGTATGGATGTTTATTCATTAGGCTCTTATTTTCAAGTGTAAATGTAGTACTTAAATGAAAAATGTGCTTTAATGTTTTGAAGTAATATTTATGTGGCAATGTGTGGTATGTGCAAGTTTAAGAAAAAAAATACATTTTTCTTAACGGGTCATAGCGAGTCATAACGGGTCGGGTCACTTTACCCGTTGGGTAAAGTGACCCGACCTGTTAAGGACCCATTAAGATAACAGGTGTGACACGACACGATCCGTTAAGATAACAGGTGTTACACGAAAACGACACGACATACACGACCTGTTTGCCAGGCCTAGTTATTATCAAGTTTTTCTTCCTTATTGAGTACTTTTTGCTATTCGTAATGTGCTTGATTTTTATTTCGATGCAAGTTAGAGAAGATGTCATACTTAACTTGAGTTTAGCTTCTTGCAATTGATACCATAAACACTAATAGAAATTTTAGTACCTACGGAAAGAAGGTAAAAATCACACAAAATACTTGCAAGAGTACAACGATGTTGTAATATAGATGCTCATGAAAGGTCGTTCTCTACTAGGACTATTTAAATAATTTATGTAAAACCAATTCCTAATTAACTACTTAAAACTAAAAAATTTAGAAAGGAGATTTTGAATTTCGGTAATATTAAAAATGAATTTTAATTAAAAACCAAGTAGCATATTCGGCCAAAATTAAGAAGACAAAAGAAAAGAGTTTTTTAATACCAATTTATAAAAGCACTAGGGTTCCACCATCACCCAGCAATCCTATGTATTTTTTACCAATTACTTAGATCTACACATGCCACTTTAAAGGTTAGGTTTTCCTAATATATATTATATTTGGAACCGCCAACATAGAATGTATATCTAACATGCAATCTGTCCGGATGTTCGGATCAAATATGAACATGAGAGACTCATTATGTTTTGTGAAAACCCTTTGAAAAACCATGCAACTCTTAAGACGTGGTGTTCATCTTAAGTGAAATTACAATTTTGAACACAAGAAGCCAGAATCAATTTCAGGGAACCTTCAGACCAAAATTGCATCAAATTACTTTTCTAAAGATCCTAATGGTGATAAAGCATTAAGACAATTAGATAATTTAAAATAGTGATCAATAATTCAAAGGATGCATGCAATCAATCATAAGCAATCAAATAAAAATTACATATTCATGCTAAGGCTCAAGGCTTTGCTCTAGCAAAACGGATTAGTTACACATATTCATAATTAAAATCAAAGAAAATATTATTATGAATAAAAAGATTGAAAACACCTTAAAGTAAAAGTTTGAAATTCTTCAAGAACCCTAGGCAATTTTCTATCTCCCAAGTCGCATAAAAGAAGAAGAAGTAAAAGATTAGGGCCGGCCAAAGCCTTATATTGCTCTACATAAACGATCTCTCAATAAAAGTCTTTGGCTCCAACTAGGAAACCAAATAATAATAAAATATACTAGAAAATAAAGTCCTAATTAAGCTAGGAGAATTTTCTAGGGAACTATCCAGCCACGTTTTAGCCTTAAATGTCCTCCAAATCCAGCCCATTATAGCTTGTTTTAAAGATCAAAATAGTCTAAACACATCTCTAGAAAAGGCCGAATCCAAAATAGGTCATCTTGGGCTCCAAAACTCGCAATCAAAGCCCAAAACGTCCTCTAATTGGAATTACTCCAATTCATTCATTTGACTATGTTTTGTCCCAAATGATGTCGAAAATCCTATATTGAAAATACAATTCAAAGCATCAAAATTCTTCCAAAATAATAGCCAAAATATACTAAGAATAGGGTTAAATATATAATATAAAATCTACTCATCAAACACCTATTTGTAGATGACATGCAATTAGGGTTTGTGTGATTTTCCAACAATTTCTATAAAGCTTAAGGGGTTCTTACTTGTTTAAATTCATCTAGATGCCATAAAGGGTTAAAATGTAAAGATACTTTTGATGCAATCTTATGCCATGTCCGTTGAATAATTTAGGGAAAATTGATCATCAATACTGGGGAACTACTTGAGCATAACATATTAAGGGAATTAAGTATAAGTGGTTGCAGTGAATTCGGATGCCTAGGTCTTATTTTCTTATATTTTAATTTTATTATTTCATACATTTTATTTTCAAGTTCTATTTCATTTTAGTTTAAATCAAATTCTCTATCTTTTACGTCAAAACTTCACAATTATAATTATTTTCAATTTAATTAGTAACACTTTAGAATCAATTCGATCTTTGTGGAACGATATCTGTGCTTATATGCTATATAATCATTCGATTCGTATACTTGCAAGCACTAAAATTCGAGATTTAATTAGGTTAGTTTTGGTCATCTAATTTTTGTAACAAGTTTTCGGTGCCGTTGTTGGGAATCGAATTTGATACTGTTACTTAAACAGATTGTTACATTTTTTAAGTTGGTTTAGCTTTAATGTTAATTGTTAGTTTTTTTTTAATAATAAATTGTTTCCTAAGTCTCTTGTTTAGCTTACCCATTGTTTTGTGCTTTTTGCAGAAAAGTGGAGCTACTTTACCTTGTTGCCAATACAAATTCAAGTTCCGGGGTGGATTGCCATCTATATCTTCGCTTGCCCGTGTCCTTTAAACCAAGGAAGTAACGTTGTCCTTAAGTTTTTACTTTTTATTTTTGTATTGTTTGTCGTTTGTGTCTCCTGCCATTGAGAACATACGTGATTTTATTTTGGGAGTGAATCTTTCGTTGGGTTTTACGGAGTCACAAAGAGGAGCAGCATCAAACATTGAAATTGTGAAATGCTTCAGAATTTCAAGCCCATACTCTTTTTTTTTTTCTTTTTTTGCCTCGTTCAATTTGGTTTGTCACGTGTTTTCAATTGGTGGAGTCTCAAATTAGTTTTGGTTGATTTTTTTTTTTTTCCCGTTTATTTTTTTATGTTTGTTGCATTTTTCATTTAATTAATTATCTAACTAAAAATGAAAATAAATAAAAAATATATAAAATTTGAGAACCAAAAATATTTTTCTTTGAGTCTTGTTTTTATTGGCTACTTCCCAATTCAGTGATGAGATACGATCTTTATGTTTTTCATAACTTTCATGGAATTTAAGCTTGATATTAGTTCTTTACATTATCTTTGTTTTAACCATATTTTTTGATGATCATGACTTAGGAAAATATTATGCACATAGCCTTGTTCGTGCAAAACTAAAGCATGATTTAAAAATTTCATATGTGAATCTAGTGAGTTTATGTAACCCTTGCGAGCTTTTGAGCCTATTATAGATTGAACTATTATGCATTAATCTCATTTAATTTGTGCGCATGATCTCATTTTACATATATATCTAAAACTTGCCTTCTACCTTTCTTTGCTTTCATCAATTCACGTAACAAACTTAGAAGTGATTTACGCATTTGTTTCCTTCGTTTGAACCTTTATAGCCAACCCTTGTTATTATTTTCCCTAGTCAGCCCTGTTGAGCCTTTATGTGAGCCTTTTCTTGTTTCTTTAACCTGGATTGTCCCTAGCTAGCCTCATAAAAAAAATTCCACATCCATCAAAAGAGAGCTCAAAGTTTTGGGGGCTAAATATTGTTATAGAAAAGAAGAAAAAAAAAAAGTTGATGATTGCTGTAAAAGAAGAAAAAAAAAAAAAAAAGGGTGTTCCGAACATTGACAAAGCCAGAAATTGTCGAGGGGAGGGTGAAATTTAAAAGGTTTAAGGCCCCAAAAAAATGTGGACATCTATTCGAGATTTGAGTCCAGGGTTGGCAAGAAGATTATGTGAACTAACCAGAATATTTGTAGGAGGATTTGCACTAACCGAAATATTTGAAAGAGGATTTGGACTACCCGAAATATTTGAAGGAGAATTTTACAGTATTATTGGAATGAGGATTTAAGCACCATTTCTTGTTGTATTGTGCCATTACATAACTATATAATGAGCAAAATTCTTAAAGGTGTCAAGCGCTCACTAGTATGAAAAACAGTTTGCACAACACAGGTCCTTCGTCGCGCAAAAATTAGCCCAACGAAACCTTCTTCGTGCACCAACTGTCACAACAAGGCAGTGAAAGTAGGGTTTGCACAACGAAGAAGTACATGCATTGCGCGAACCTTTGTTTTTTTTTTTTTTTTTGTCAAAAATATTTTTTATTTAATTTTTAATAAATATTGTAATTAAATTCTAAACAATAATTAATAAACCAAGAAGAAGTATTTAATTATAAAATATATGAAAATGTACATACAAGATGTCCGAACAAAAAAAGAAAAAACTACAATAAGTAGTCTTCTAGGTTTGATACATCAGGCTACTAGTATCGGCTGGGCGAAGTGGCTGGGAGGTCGAAGGTGGAGCAAAATCAGGTGATGGCATCGGGGTTTGGAGGCCAGACATCTGTAAGGCCCGTAAGATCATGCTCATCTTCTTGTCCTGAGCTGAAAACTAGGCAGCAATAGGCTTCTCGAGCATCCAGGGCTGCTTTTTGGGCAACAATCTTATCTTTTAGGGTTTCCACTTCCTCCGTTAGGGCGATGACCTGTCCTTATATACACAAGCTATAAATCCAAAGTAAATTGCATCATCAAAATGGAGTAGTTGGCATGAAATGAATACACAAGCTGTAATAAATACCATACCAAATACTTTGAAATAAGCTATCAAACAAAGCCACTATAGACGAAACAAAAGAAGTACCACGTTGTTTAACATTTATTTTTGAACTACTCAAGTTTAGTATAAACAGATCCACTAAAGATTATTTGTAATCAATTAACTTCAACTTTGAGCGAACAATTACAAGTTGACACACTCCAACATGACTATAGTACAACACTAAAGACTCTAGTTTGAATAAGTAAGCAAAGAAGTAGGACACACTAGCTGTAAAATGTGGATGCCACACATTAAATTTATAGCAATCTACTTACATGACTTGGAGGGATGTGCTTCCCACTAAGCAGATCTAGAAGGACGATGCCAAAGCTATAAACAACACTTTCTAGAGTGACCCTTCCTACAAAGTAAATAAACAACCAGTAAAGTCAGCATATCTCAAGCAGAAGTCGTTTAGATAGGAAAACTAGAATAGTGACAAGAAAAATGATCAAAGGGATAGGTGATATCTAGGCTAGAGAAGTTATTACCATTTCTTAAATATTCAGGTGGCGTGTAAGCAAGATTTGTGCTGTAACTCTTCCCATCCCTACTATTTCTCATCAAGCCAAAACATGAAAGACGAGGATCACCATCCTACAAGTCCATTCAGATACTACATTATCACCCTAAAAAGTAGTGAACACTGAAGTGACAGAAAACACATTTTAAACTAAGATGATTGAATTTGAGAATCGAATACCTCGTCAAAGAGAACTCTATAAGCATTTAAATCATGGTATAACGGGCGGCCCTCGGTACTGCAATAATCTAAAGCTTCAGCAATATAAAGAGCCACTCTTAAACGCATGGCCCACTCAATGGTTTGTTTGATTCTCCCCTGTATAAACAAGCAGAGCCTAAAAATTAATTTTTGACGAACACAGCAACTAATTCTCAATTTGTAGGAACAAAACCCAAAACATTGAATTGATTGCTTGTGCAAAACTTAATAAATTAGCAGTACAAAGACAAGCACAATACTGGCACACTAGATACCAGAGTACACTAAAAAGTAAAAACCACCTCGCCACGACTTCTCCAAATGAAAGGCAATGTTTAATATCATCTGAGATTAACAAAACTATAAGGTAAGATTAGTGGCCAACTAAGATCAATGACCGAACCATTAACAAATAAACAAAAAAACAAAGGTTAATGGAACGTGTCATGTTGTAGAAAACTAATGTCAATACCATCTTGCATTTCAATGTTTGCTTGTTAAAAAGCTCTATATTTAGAGGTACTTCACAAAAGGGTCACTGAGAAATCTTAGAAGCTGAGCTAAAAAGAGCATTCTTAATAAACCAGGTGACGTCAAAAGACGAATAGTAAATAAAGATAGATTTTGTTTGACATACAGTGGAACAAATGCTTAGCCAAAGTATCAGTAGGCATGTACTCAGCAACAAGCAGCCTCTCATCCCCATCACAGCAATACCCAATCAAATTTGCAAGCCTCCGATGCCGCAACTTCCCCACACCCCAAGCTTCCTCCTGTAAAACCAAAACCCACAAATCATTCATACACCCAATTCACAAAACGAACATCTGTAAATTTTACAGCAACTTATTTCCAGAAATTCATAATATCAAGAAACACTTTACAGCATACTGTTGACAAATCAATCAAATCTTAATGGGAACAAATCCCTAATTATTTGTATACTTAGTTTTCATGTATTTGCCTAGTTAGGAAGTCAACTCCAATTTATAAGGAGCTGATTGTGCATATCAATTGTATATATTTTCTCCTTACCGTATCAATTCAATACACAATTATTCCTTCAAGCATTCTCTTCTTGGCACCAGAGCCTAGGTTTAAGGAAAAGAAAAAAAAAAAATAACGAAGTGGTACTCTGTACGGAGAACCATAACTACCAGCAGCGCAGCCAATTATGCAACGCTGTCCGACCAGCGAGCGACGCCGTCGTTGCTGACCCGAGAACCCAGAACTACCAGCTGCACATCCAGTTGTGCAGCGCACCGTCCGACCAGCGAGCGACGCTGTCGTTGCTGATCCGAGTTCACCAATCTGCTCCCTGCATCCACCACCACAAACCGAGATTCAACCCGCTGCCTGAAGTTTGTCGCAGATTCCGGGCAGACTCAAATCGCCATCGCCTTGAACCACGACTTTCAACTGTTGGTTTCATCTGCACCACAACATTTCGAGCGCGAATCTATTTTCTGTGCCCAGACGTCGTGACCCCCTTGCTGCTATCTTGAAGAGCAGTATAAAAAGGTCTGTTAATGCGGAAAGAAGAAAGAGAAAAGGAGTTCTTGTTTGAAAAAAGGAGGAAGCACGGGTGAAGAAGTAAAGAAAGAGGAAAAAGACAAAAATTAAAAATAAAAAAATAGAAAAAGGGAGAAGAAGGAAGGAAACAGGAAAAAAGAAAAAAAAGAAATATTTTTGTTTTTGGTCATTGTTTTACAAGACCTTTGGTTGGACCTTTGGACGTTTCCAATCACTCGTACACATTGCAGCAAACTCATCCAGAACAATGGCGGCCCAGACTCGTGCACTGATTGCTAAAGCTGAGGTAGCTTCTGAACATATGGACAACGATGGTAAGGCTTTGAAAGTTTCTGCATCAGTTACGAATAATATATGAATAATTGATTCCGGTGCTACTGAACATATGACTTGTGAATCTAGACAGGTTCAAATCCTAAAACCATCCACCAAAACCGTTGTGAGTGTTGCCAATGGTAATGTTGTTCCCATTATTGGGGAAGGCACTGTCTCCCTTTCCGATACCCTTAATCTTAGTTCCGTACTTGTTGTTCCTTCTCTTGACTATAATTTATTATCAGTTGCTCAAATAACTGTCACCCTACATTGCTGTGACCTTTTTTTTGTGTTTTTAAGGATATTCAGACTCGCAAGACGATTGGTTATGATATCAAAAAGGACAAGCTCTACTACTTGGAGCTAACATCGAACAGTACCCGAATGTTGACTCAAGCTCTTACAGTCGAAGAATCTCAAGGGGAGACAAATAAAGCTTCGGAGGTTTGGAGATGGCATCGTCGACTTGGACATGCTTCTTTCGGTTATTTACAGAGGTTGTTTCCTAGCCTATTCGTTAAGCATAATGTTTCTAGCTTTAAATGTAGTGTTTGTGAATTGGCTAAAAGTCATCGAACTTCATTTCCATCCAGTATGACTAAAAGTTCCGTTCCTTTTATGATAATCCATTCTGATGTTTGGGGACCATCTAAAACTGCTACATTTGGTGGGGCTCATTGGTTCGTTACTTTTATTGATGATTGCACACGTATGATGTGGGTTTGTTTGATGAAGTCCAAAAGTTAAGTTACTTCTTTGTTTCAGCGATTTCACAAAATGGTGCAAGTACAATATAAGTCACAAATACAGGTTCTTAGAAGTGATAATGGCGGCGAGTACATGAACGATGAGCTTCATGCCTTTCTTAATCATCATGGTATTGTTCATCAAACTACATGTCCAAACACTCCCCAACCAAATGGAGTTGCAGAACATAAGAATCATCAGCTTTTAGAAGTTGTTCGTGCTTCCTTGCTTGGGGCTTGTCTTCTGTTGTCCTACTGGGGTGAAGCTCTCACTTCTGCTGTATATCTCATTAATCGTGTTCCCTCTCGATCGGTTAATTTTTAGACACCATTTCAGGCTCTCTCCTCACATGTCGATGCTCCTACAGTCCCCAATCTCCCACCTCACGTGTTCGGTTGTGTGGCATTTCCCAGTACTGTTTACTTTAACGAAAAACCACATTTTTACACTAAAAAGTCAATCCTGGTACTATTCACTTTACCCTTTATTTTGTCCTTATCGTTAAAATTCAAAGTTTTCAAGCCTTTTTTATTAGTTTTCCTCTTATAAAATGTAGTAAAATTCCACTAGACCATAAGACTAATAAGTGGTGACCATCACCCTTTTTTTTATACAACGATATATTTTATACTAAGGAATAGGAAATAAATAAATTTCGAACTCATAGTTCACGAAATTTGAACCTCCGAAACCGTGATACTAAGTGCAACCATGAACCTTTTTTAATCAGAGGAATTAAGAAACCCAACAATAGTGTCGACAAACAAATCATATATATAGAACACCTTAGCGGTTGTCACTTTGTACTATGGTCTAGTGGTATTTCTCTTCATTGGTACCTGAGAGATCGTAGGTTCAATTCCACCAAAGACGAATTGAATCACATTATTGCTAGGTTATTGTGAGGCTTAACCTACTCTTCCACTTCCTTAATGTAAATAATATTTTTTGTTAAAATAAATAAATAAATAAAAACCCAGCACTTTAACGGTTAAGATTTAAATGCTTTGTGTACCACTTTAACGTTTAAGATTTAAATGCTTTGTGTTCAAGACAATTTTCGTTTTATTTTATTTTATTTCGGGGTAAAGATCTTCAAGACAATTTTGATATGACATTGCACTACATAATATTCGAATTAAATTATAATGAAAATCCAAATAGTAGAGCGGTAAATTTATTTTAATATAACCTAATACCCCATCATTTCTCCGCCCTTTTTCGTTACCCTTCCAACCTCATTAATTATTGTTGCTTATGGTCACGCCTCTTGCATTTCTTCCTCAATTGCTTCTATATTTTTCTCAATCGACAACAACAAGCCGTTCAAATCCGTACCACTCAAATTCTGCAACCAGTTAGCTGGGAGGCTCCCGCGCATAGATTGTACCATAATTTCCTTCTCTTGGTTTTCCTTAATTTGTTTTTTCAACTGCTCCTCAGCTTTAAGTATCTGCTGCCTAAGAAAACTCTCTTGATTCAGCATATTTTTGCTTTTGTCCCTCTCCGGCATCTGCTTAAACCTTGTGACAATTCGTCGGGCTACATCTCGGCACGAACCAACATCTGGTTTGGTGTCATACTGGCTATAAACGATAGCTGATACATCAATTCCACAAAGAATGCTAAGTTCCTTTACCTTCTTCATCAGCCCATTCTTCCTTTTCTTGAAGGTGACTTTTCTTGAAACATCATCTCTTATGTATGCAAGCTTAATTTTTTTTCTTGTCATGGTGAGCTAGGGATTGTTGAAGGAATAGACAATGGATTAGATGGTTTTGAGGTTGAGGCGGCCCCTTGTAGTTCATTCCCTGAAATAAGCTATATATAGAGTTGAAATATGTAGTTATAGGGTTTCTTTAAATGTAAAGCCAGATAGATTTGGGTTGGTTGGATATGGATGACTAAGTGATGGCATGTGAATTTATTATGCACATTTATGTATAGGATCTGGTGAGTATTAAGGTACAGGAGTTCAATTGGAATATGTTTGTTCTAATCCTCTGCATCTTTATATATAGTTGGATTTTTTTTTTTTTTTTGGCAAATGATTGAGGGCTCCTTTTGGCAAGTGCCTTAAAATGATTGATTCTGGAGAAAATATTTTTGGATTTCAAAAGCACTTGAAGTGCTTCCAGTAAGAAGCACATAACTGGTGCTTTTAACATGAAGAACTTTAAGTGTTTTTTCAGAATTAACTTGCCTTTTTACTAAGATATGGTTCCGAAAATATTTTATCTAAAATCAGTTTTAGTCGTTTAAAAGTACTTGCCAAATTAGGTCTAGGAATTTACCTATGCAGCAAAGTTTTGAATTCAAATCCATCTGCCCAGTATTGTTTGTATGAAAAAGTTAATTCAGTATTTTACATATTAATTCATTATCAATGCTTAAATTATTATCGTGTCACATCTCGTATTTGATGATCCATAGTGTATCATGTATGTCTCTACACGTTTACAAAATATTCTACACCAACCACTAATTAAATTTTAATAAAATAATATTTAAACCGTTTAACATTACTAAAAAGCGGACCAGGATCCTCTTCTAATCTAAGGATGAGGATCCTCATGACCAATGCATGTGGGTCGTTGGATGAAAATCCAACGGCTAGAAACTGGGGGGTCCCTTTAAAGTTATAATAATTATAACCGTTGGATTTTCATCCAATGGTCCACATCCCTTAATCATGAGGATCCTAATCCTTAGATTAGGAAAGGATCCTGATCCCTAAAGAGCTACTCGGAGGAGAAAATTTTACACATTCTCAAAACACCAGCTATTTAAGAACTCCTAGAAAATTTCTTAAAAAAACATGATTGGAGTTGATTTTTTTTTTTTGAAGTTTTAACGAAAAGTCCACGATACTGTTCACTTTAACGAAAAACTATATTTTTACACTAAAAATTCAATCCTGGTACTATTCACTTTACCCTTTATTTTGTCCTTATCATTAAAACTCAAAGTTTTTAAGCCCTTTTCATTAGTTTTTTTTTTTTTTTTTATTCATTTTAATGTCTCGAAGCTCTCATTTGTTACTTAGCATTACAGTTTAGCAGTATTCATCTTTATTTGTAAGTGAAAGATCTAAGTTCGATTCTCGCCAAAGACAAATTTGAATCACATTATCGTAGCCCACTGTGAGGCTTAATCCACTCTCCCACAACACTACCTCTTAATGTATAGATAATATCGTTTGTTCAATAAAAGAAAGGGAAACAAAAAAATTAGAAGCTCCCATTTTGGGAGCTTTTTTTTTTTTTTTTTTTTTTTTTGCAAAAGTGTTCTAATGTCATTGAAAGTACACATAAGGGGCAATCCATAAGTGCCGAGCCTAAACAACAAAATAAAATAAAAACCTGAAGATAGAGCCTTGAGGACGAGACGTGGCCGGGCGACTAAAAATAGTGTGATAAAATGTATCATAACAAAGAAAATAACATCAAATTTAATATTACTAATTTTATATTACACAACATAACAATTTTGCCTAAAATCGAAGGAAAACTGTATCGAATCAAAACTATAAGAAATAGTTTAACATAGAAAATTACATGGAAATGCATGAACAATACAAAGCACATGCATATATATATATATATATATATATATATATATGTCTATATACGAATAAGGAGTACAAATTCATAGGTGCATGTTCAGGGAAAGATAAATAAAAAATTAGGGCATGCGTTTATAAGCTGGATGACCTCCCGCACCGGCCAGTTCAGAAGGAGAAGCTCCATGTCCATGTGTAGTGTTTGTACCATCAGCCGCATGCTTTGCCTTAATTTCATGTTCATGTGCTGCCTTGTCTCCAGCTCTGGCAATCTCCCCAGCCTTGGCCACATGCAGTGACATTGCTGCTTCAGCTTCTTTAGCCAATCGCACCTCATGAGCTACGTCTGCTCTCGCCTTTGCTATTTCCTTCTCAGCCTAGTAATATACAATTTGAAACCAGCAATATAAAAATGAGTTTTAGGTTGAAATCTGATTATAGTCGTTTGATTACGTACACGAAATGTACGTAGTAAAACACTCCAGGCATATTCATGCACGTTCATAGGCACATTGATGTACTGATGAATGAATGTACATGTCACTTCGTACTTGTGTGTATTTTCATAATGATAATATTGTACAATGAAAATGACCAAATAAAAAATCAAACACCTGAATATATTCTTTGTGGAGTCGAGACTTATATGATTAAGTCGCTCTATATTTCTTATGGAATGTAATCTGCAAACATATCAATGCATTACTATCTGAATAAAGTGTTGTAATATACGTACCCTCTCTTCGGCCCTGGCCTCCTCCTTGACCTTTTTCATGGCGCCCATTTCATTTATCTTGTCCTTCACTGCCTGCATTTTTTCTTTCTCTTTTATCAACACCTTACAAAATTAACCAAATGAACTGCACTATAATGCTCCCAATAATCGACAATGAAAAATGTAACATATATATAGAGTTCGTACGACCCAGAAAGAGCAAAGACGGTCTATGGACGTATAGGTGACACTTGTCAAACATGCAGACGTTTAGGACAAACTTGTGGGCGATGTTGATGAGGAGTCAATCACTCTAAATTCCCATCCCACAATGCCAATTCAAGATCCGAGTTTTAAGTTGAAGGCATAATTTGAGAATAAGGTTGGGTTTGATCTTAATTAAGCTAATTTTTCCTCTTGACAAGTGTAAATTTCTATGTATTGTACTACTACTATTTGATGAGTGTCAATTCCGTGTGTATGGGAACGGAAAGGGATCCTCTTCAGATCTCTTCCACCAAATCCATCCTATCACCTAATCCGGGCTCTTGAAACTTGATCCAACGGTTAAAGTTATTATAATTTTTAATGAAGCTGTTGGATCAAATTTCAGGAGCCTTAATTGATTGATTGGGTGGATTTGATGGAAGGGATCCGAAGAACATCCTTTTCCTATGAGAACAACGATTGTAGCATAATAAGTATTGACATGTAAAAAAAAAAAAATTTATACAATAACAATGCATGTGGTGATAATCTCATTCACAATTGGCCCATGTATCTTCATTTTTTTTTTTTATAAGTAATTAGCTTCTTATACAACTAGAATTCATGCTGCTTTTTTATACCATGCACCGCCTCCTTCGGTCACTGCCCCTTTGTCCTCGTATCTTTTAATCCTATTACTACTGGTGAATGCTAGTTATTTTTCCCTTTGTACTCTCTCTCTTTTCTTTTTCTTTTTTTTTTTTTTTTGTTTTCAATTTTCATCTTTTTTATTATTTTTAGAGAGACTTTGGATGTGGTCCTTAGTTATAAATATTCTTTGATTGAAACCTTGTTGGTTTTTAATTTTTAATCAAGGGCCTTGAAATTAATGTAATAATTTATTTCTATGTACGTTACTATATTTTTTAAATTAAAAATTAGAAATTTTAGTTGTTTATATAAATGAGAATTTAAATATAAAAAAACCATAATTTGTGGGATTAAAAATATTAAAATACAAATATACTATTGTGTGTGTGTGTAAAGATGGGTACATTCCGAAAAATTAATTGTATCAAAACATGGGTACATTCTTCAAAATCACAAATAAAAAAATTAAAAAAATAAAAAAATTAAAAAAGAAGAAGAAGAAGAAGAAGAAGATATTAGGCTTAATAACATTAGTAAATTTCTTCGATTAAACTTGACATGGATACATTTTAAAATCAAAGAAAAAAGAATGTACCCATATAAGTTTAAAAATGGATTAGAAAAAAATTGAATAGATTTTATATAAAAAATTATACATTTTACATATAACAAATTGGTATATTTAAGAATGAGTGTTAATTGGTATATTTAAGAATGAGTACATTTTAAGATTAAAAAGTTTTACATGAATGGGTACATATAATTAGCATGGGCACATTTAGCAAAATAAAACGTACAAATAAAAAAAATATATGGGTACAAATACAAATAAAATTTAAAAAATATGGGCACAAAAAGAAATTAATATATAGGTACAAATCAAAACTGAAAAGAAAATTGGTACAAATTAAAAATGGGTACAAACTAACACTAAAAATATATGATAAAAAATTTAGTCATAAATATAAATATACTAATTGTAACATTTTTAACATTAAATGAATATATTTAGAAATAAAAAATATTTTATTATTTAAATAATTAATGATGTTATTAATACCCAAGGACCTTGATCAAAAATTGAAAATGAATAGGATTTTAATCAATGGAGTAGCAAAAGGAAGGATGAGAACCTAATTTCTCCTTATTTTTAACATCCTACAATACTGCTTGATTATCGAAGTTGTTTATTTTGTAGAGAAAATTGTAGAAATGGTCCCTCAACTTTAAGCCAATTGGAGCAATGATCCCTCAACTAAAAATTCATGACCAATAGTCCCTTAACTCCTCAAAATGTGCAGCTATAGTCCTTTTCATCAACTCCATTAGAACTTTTATTAAAACGAGTCGTATTGGAAAAACCATTGGTCTAATTCGGTTAAAGTTAAGGGACTGTTGCTCAGATTGGGTGAAAGTTGTGGGACCATTTCTCCAATTAGGTTAAAGTTGAGGGACCATTTTTAGAGTATTTACCAAATATAGCCAAATATTAGCTCTTAACTTCAAAATGTCAGTTTTTATAAAAACTTTCAAATATATTCAAAATATCACTTAAATAGACACAAATGCCCTTAAACTTTAAAACCAAATAAATTAAAAAACCCAAAACCCTATTAGATTGATATTTTGGACGGCAAAACCTAAAAAATGGTGGAGAGATAGTGAAGGCATCGGCTACTGTGGAGACTTTGTGTAACCCTAAACATATGAAGTTGAGTGTAGATGGTTAATTTTTTTCATTCTTCCTAGTCTACGTTTTCTCTTAGCTTTTGTAGTTTCTTCCTTTGGTTGAATTTTATTGAAGAACAAACTGCCAATTTTTGTAAAGACTACGGAATAGAAATTCTTGAGCACATATTAGAAAAATTAGGTTTCTTATGTCAATGGAAGATAGACAAATCTAATAGCATTTGCCAATCAGTTAGAGACAAAGCTAATAGTTCTTCAGTGCATATTTGAAAAAGTAAGGTTTTCGGAATAAAGTTTTTCTTTCTGTTTTTTTTATTCATCTTATGTTGGTTTGGTAAGAAATACTAATTTTTTCTTTTTTCAATGTGTAAAAGTAATTGGAAGTTAACTTCCAGAATAGCACCTTAATCAACAAGGTCCTTCTTCCATTGCTCATATGCATGATGTTTTGTGTATATATTAATTCTGTATATGTTAACTCCCAGCCGTTCTCATGATTCAGTCCAGATTTCACAACACCCTTTTTATTTTCATATATATATATATATATATATATATCGATCTTAGCTGTGTCTGTATGTCACTTTTTATTTTCTTATTGTTTTGCTCATATTTCAGGACAATGTGTAGTTTGACAATTTAGTGAACTACGATGGGAGATGGGCTGACTCAACGTACAAAAATTTGCAAAATGAAAGGATTACTTGTTTCAAACAAAATCACATTTACGGAGCTTCAGAAGAAAGTACCTAGTATTGTGAATGTGGACCAAAATGAGTATGAGATAAGTATGAAAGTCATATATAACGCAATGGAAACTACATGGCCTGCAGATATAGTTGATGATGATGATGTGAGGGCATTTATTTTTGAAAACCTTTCAAGGTCTTGGAAGATTCCCTTGTGTGTTATATTAAAGTAGAAAGTATTTTCTTTGGAAGATAATGATGACCCATTACAAATAAGTCTTAACTTTGTTACTCAAGGTGATTTGGAAGATATTGTGCTACATGATTCAGATAACGACTTGGTAAATCAAGAAGTTGAGAATGGATCGTATCATGAAGAATTTGAGAATATGCCACACATGGAGTCTGATAATGTGTTCCAAGATAATGTTGAATTCAATGAGTTGCCTCCTGAAGGGATGGTATGTGATGATGTGCCTGTTAATGTGCAATTTGATGAATCCAGCTCTAACCAATCAAATGTTCACAAGGGTACAAATATTGTACATGAATCAGACAAGGCAAACCTGTGCAATTTAGATGGAGATATAGTTGTAGGCCAATTGTACGAGACTAAGGAGGATTTAGAAAAAGAAAAAAAAAAGTTGGGTACTGATGCTATGAAGAACCATTATGAGTTCAGAGTGAAGAGATCAAGCAAAGAAAGGTTTGAAGTTGGTTGTGTCGGCGATGGATGCAAGTGGTACAACATCATGACAACAAATATTGCTGAATGTCTCAATGCAATCACCAGAGATGCTCGAAAACTACCTATCACCCGATTTCCTAAGTATTTAAGAATGAATATTCTCCATAAGTGGTTTTATGAGTGTCGAACCGAGGCAGCCAAAATGAATACACATTTGACAGATTGGGCTGATAAATTGGTGCAAGAAAGTAACAAGCAAGGATTATCATTACAGGTATTTTTGCATTCACTTAAATAGAATTTAGTCCAATTTGTCTATTTAATTTTGGTACAGTTTCATTTGTTCTCAAGTTTTTAAACTATTTTACAGATTCTTATATCCCATAATCTGTAGCTTTATCCATTGAAAAAACTAGGCTTTGACCCCTAAAAAACAAAAAAAAAAAAAAAAAAAATTAGAACCCAAATCTTGTGTAACTTCAACGTAATTGCTGCTATGGTTTTATATAAATTGCCTTTATAATTTTATGCAGCAGTTCAGGGTATTCATCCACTTCTCTTACAGATCACTAATTGCGAATTGCTTTTGAAGTTCTTATGCGGAATATTTTTTTGGTTGTTTAGTTCTTCTTTTGTTTGAGTAATATATATGTATGTGAACATGCAAGTATTCGCCTATTGCAACTTACTTATTTCATGTATACGATGGATCTCGTATTGAAGTTGTGAATTTAGAGGAAAAGAGTTGCACATGCCGACAATTTAATTTTGACCAACTCTCTTGCTCACATGCTTGTGCTGCATGTAGACACTGACAACTTTCATGTTATCCTATGTGTTCTCATTATTATACTACAAACTCTTTGGTCATTGCCTATGTAGAAGTTATATGACCAGTTGGTGATCAAACTGATTGGATAGTAACTGATGATGTCTGTCAAAGAATTGTCCTACCACCAATTACATGAAGAAGATATGGTAGGCGCAAAGAAAAGAGGATCCCATCACATGGAGAAGAAAAATCAACTCGAAAGTGAATGTGGTTCAAATGGCCATTATAAACAAACTTGTAGGAATCCCGTTCAACTTCATCCTAATTTGTAGAACCCTTTTAAATTAGAGTTTTATGAATAAAATTTTCTTTCTATCATTTTATTGTCTGGGCCAAGAAATTGCGGTGTAACAAATAAATATTTTCTTTTGATCATTTTATTGTTTGTTTTGGTTGTACGTACAATTCTTTAAATTTCCTACAATTAAAAGATAATTACTTTTATTTCTTTACTTTGATTGTTCACTTTTATAACATACTGAAGTGTTTTTTGTGAACCATGTGTGAAAGAAAGGTTTCCTTGATTATTTGTTAAAATAAAATTGAAAGAAAACTTTTGCTCTTCGTTTGGAAAAGAAAATAAAAAAAAAAAAGGAGAAAATTTTAGTAGAGATTACAGCACAAAAAGTTTTAAGTCTAACAATTAGTTATTCATATAAATTGACGGTAGTTATGTCTATTTAAGTGAAATTTTGAATATATATGAAAGTTTTATAAAAGTTGGACATTTTTTAAATTAAGGATTAATTTTTGTTATATTTGATAAATTCCCCCATCTTTACAATTTTTCATTTAGTTCCCATTTTTCTCCTTGATTCTAACCTCACGTGCGTGACACATGACTCATTTTGATGGAAGTTTTAACGGAGTTAGCAAAAAGGACCGTAGCTACACGTTTTGATGAGTTAAATGACCAATAGTCATGAATTTTTAGTTGATGGATCATTGCTCCAATTGAGTTAAAGTTGAAGAACCATTTCTACAATTTTCTCTATTTTGTATGACTCTATAAAGATGAACTTCGCAAAATAAAAATAATAAATACTAAATTGAAAATCGTTTAATTGTTTGATTAGTGTAGTCATGATTTTATTGTTTAACTGAATAGCATAGCTTTTCTATATTGTTGAATAACAAGTAAGATAACTAATTAAATGGATTCAGATTTAGCTATCTTTCAGTAAAGATGATCTTAAAAGGGTGATTTCGAAATTTGATGATTCGATCGGATCAGGAAGTAATATTGTAGGATTTTTAAATAAACGAGAATGTCAAAAGAGAATGTACGAAGGGAAAGGTGACTAGCATTCCTCATCTTTTAAGCAATATTAGATACCGAGTAACCTACCGATTTGGTCCCTTAATTATTACTCGAATGAAAACCAAGTAGCTAGACAATTCTTTTAGAAAAACAAGTCCTAGTTCATTAAAAACAACCAAATTCCTTATTATCATAAATTCAAAGCTATTTTATCTAATTTCTCATCAAATTAAGTCACGTAACTTATATGAGACACTTTAAAGAATAGATTGGTAATTTTCAATGAGTTTAAAGACCTAATTTTTCCAAAAAAAAAAAAAAATAGTACAGTAGAACTTTAGAGGGTAAATGGACAGTTAAATTTGAAGCCTATATGCAATGTTCAGGCCTTAAGGGTTCATGACAGAGACAGTAACAATATTACCCGCGTTGCCTATTTTGAAAACCACCCCTAATTTAAGAAAGTATTGGAAATTTTGAGCAAGAGGTTCGAAATAACTGGACTTGGATCAAAAATAAAATATGAAAGATTGTATAGGCAAGGCCTTGACCCAGGGCTGAGCCCAGGGATGTGAATCTCACACTGGGAAAGCACACTCCTTTTACTACAAGGTGGCAAGTGAAAGATTTCTTCCCATCCTACAAGGAAACTGCCATTCACATTATCTTTGTTCATATTATCACCACTAACACATGGAGATCGATATTACTTTCAGATATATTTAATACATAGTTCAATCTCAAGTAAAATTACAGACAATTTATTCATCGACTGAACTACACACACGTCTAGCTTCCACGGTATGTTGTGAATGAGAAAGGCGACAGCAGCAGAGGAACATGAAAATGTTCCAATTTCTGTGACTCTCTGATCTCAAACACGATAGAAACATGAGGGAAGAACCCGCTTGGGCAGTACTTACCTGTGTTAAAGTTTATCCTGTATATGCCCGGGTTCACCACATCAACGATGCTCATCAATTGACCACTTCGTCCATCATTATCAGTAGTCGAAGACCCTTGAAATACCCAACCACCTGCATTTGACTCGCCAAACACCGGACGAGGTTGAACACCCTTCCACATTTCTAAACACACTTCAATTCCAGCACCTGGAGATCCTCGAGAAACATCCAAGACATGGGTTGTGATGGGTGGACGGGTTCGAGTTGGAGCTTGAGAAGTTTTTACTGATGAAGCTTCAGAAGCAGTAGCAGTTAAATGCCCTCCAATAATGCTCACACGATCTTCTAGGGTTCGTAAAATTAATAAAAAAAATTAGAAATAGTAGCAAATGCAAAGGAAAGAGGAGTGACTTCCTCTGGAGAGAAGAGTCATCCATGAGTTATAAACATTGTCAGACAAGCAAAGCCCAGAGCTGCATAAGCATTAAGCGGACTAAAACTCACAATTTTGAGAAGGATCTGGAATAGAAATTTACAATACCTTCCGCTTTCTTTGCAACAATTGTGGGATTCTTGTTGCCTGTGGAAGTAACATTTTCTTTTGCTGCAAAGAGCTTCGCAAGGCGTAGCTCTGTTATTTTCATCTGCTCCTGAGCTGCAATCTCGAACTCAACTATTGGCCTGTTTGGATATCGTTTCTGCAAAGAGGAAAAGTACATCTATTAATTTGAGTAACAATTTATGCAGAATCTGTAGAGCATAGTCCTCGCAGAAGTGGTATCCTTCTCTTCACTCAACAGGCATCACAAAATAAACATCAGCGGAAGTTCTGGTGAACATCTCATGTGGTCTATACATTATAAGTTGCAAGAAAAATATTTGCTTACACATGATAAAGATTAAGGACAATAACTAGTTCTCTTCAAGCTTGGTCATTGTTTACTCCATCGCAAATGCTAATATAAGAACTATGTTAGCCAACGTATGGTTTAGGGCTACTTCTAAACTGCAGGCTATCTCCTGTCTTTTGTACACACTTTCTATGGAGTGGAACACATTCTTTATTTTTTTCTTCATTGCCGGAAAACATTAAAATTTTGGCTTAAGCTCTTCGTAGAGGCAAAACTGAGCTGGTTCACCCCACCATCCTGTGCTAAATTATTGGTTGCCAAACATTGTTTTCTGGCAAAAATAGTGAGGCTAAAGTTCTTTAAAAGTATTTTTAATCGCTTTGTTTTTTTGGAGTGAATTGGTTGGAAAGGAATAATCGAATCTCCAAAGATAAAAATGGGGCGCAAGTGCCAATATAGAGGTCAGAGTGAGGTTTTAGCCATCTTTCTGGGCCTCAATAACCGGTAGTGACACTTGTTATATTCCAACAAACTACTATTGTCCTTGATAGTTCATTTATAAGAGAGTGATTTTTGTAAATTATTGACTTTGATTGTTTGATTTATTAGTCTTTGTTTCCCATGAAAATTGTTAATTAAGCCAGAATATGCAAACCAAAAGTTATTGAGTAAACAAATTCGTTCTGCATTGAGTTTAAAGAAACTTCTATTAATGAAAACGCTTAAACTGAAATTCTCAAAATGAAATAGTTTCAGTACGTTGAATCCATTGACTTAAACGCTAGTATATCTCTCCAAGCTATTCTATAATGCTCATCAGGGTCACGTATATAATCTTTTAACATTTGGAAATTTTAACAAAAAGAGGGACTGTAAGTGAAAATTTACCTTCAACTCAGCAAGTATCCCATCAGAACTCTTTCCAGATGCACAAATAAGAAATACAAAACCAAACTTCTGCCTGTATTTAGCATTCCATTCAGCCAGTTCCTACAAAAGCCAGGTGGATAATATTTAAGTAAACGAAAAAAACCCTGACCATAACTTTCACATAAACAAAAAGAAATTGAAATATCAAACTATTTTTAATCCCTTCACTTCTGCAAACTAAAACAGGATGAAATAGAGGGAAACCTTGAATATGTTTGGTTTCATTTGAAGGGGGAATTACGACTTCAAAGATATGCATAAAGTATCTGAAGCATACTAACCTGCAAGCTAGAACTAGTGGCAGTTGCTACAGCAGTTGCCTGCTCTCCCTTACTCCACCTACAAACGATTGCTTCATCACTTACTTCAATATCATTGCATTTGCATATCTAAAAAGACTAATGGAGAAAGAAAGGCGGTTAATTAGCATCAACTAGCCCACAAAGAACAAGGGCACTCCACTCGTATTTGTCACTAATGTTTTTTGCACTCGGTATGGAGCTAGTAAAACGTCAAGCGGTCCAGCAAAAGACTTAAACTTTAAAGGCCTCATCTCGATGGTAAATAATACTAAGCTCAAACACCACATGGCTTATTGCTCAGCACTCAAATATTGAAGGCAACCTATTTGTTTAACACATTCAAACGTAAACTAAAGATAGAATAGCATTACAATTAACTGAATACGAAAAATTAATCACGAATTAGAATCTAAATCGAGACTGGAAGGAGAAAAAAAAAAAAAAAAAAAAAAAAAAAAAAAAAAAAAAAAGCAAACCCATTGATGACATGAATCGACTCCATACGCCAATACCCAGGATGCTTTTTGACGAGCCAAAATCCAATTGGGCATCTTTTGGAAGATTCAAAATTTCCAATTTTTATTGTAATTAGGTTTAATTAAACACTAAAATTTACGCTAACAACAATCCATCTGATCATCGATGGTGTGCAAATTCAAGTAATTTTAATTCAATTATGCCGATTTCCTTCAAGGGTTGTCAAGATTTGAGTAAAAATTTGTGAATTATCAACAAAAACGGCAATTAAATAAGAAAAGTGAGATTAAGAACCGAACTGAGCAGAGGTGGAGTGAGAAGAAGGCGAAGGCGAGTTTCCGATTTGAGGATGAGCGGAGAACGATTGGAGCCAGCCATTGACATCGACCTTGTTGAACCAAATGTCTCTGGCGGCAGTCACAGCTTCGTCGAGAGATGAGAAAGGGGACGCCTCCGCCATTTCTTTGGCGAATTTGGTGCTTGCGCAGCAAGCTAAGAAGTCCTCCTCCTCAAATTTCAATCCCATTTCTCCTTTCCTTCAAAAGATGAGAAATTGAAAACTCTCTCTGATACTACGACACTGATTCTGGGCAGCACAACAAACAGTTGCGTTTGAAAAGAAAATGGCTTACTTTTAGCTATGCCAAAGTAATGGAGTAAATTTCACTTTAACCCCTAGACTTTATTTTGTTTCCACTTCATCTTTTCAATTTGGTTGAGATAAGCGTAAATTTTTTTCTTCTTAACCAACCATGAGTTGGTGGTCCAGTGATAAATGACGGATTGCAAAGCTTCCTTCAAATTAAAAACTAGAGGTCTCGGGTTCAAAATCCACTGTTGGTGTGAAAGCCAAACTTGTGGCCAGGGAAGGCTCAAATGTCTATATGAGTCTTCCTGATTCTTGAAAAATGTGGATAACTGTGGCTTGCTACAAAAAAAAAAAAAAAAAAAAAGAAGCGTAAATTGAATCACATGCAATTAGCAACCATAAAATTGAACTTTCTCAATGATTAGTCATGGTGAGAGTAGATTAATGAATTTTACCTCGAGTTGTAAATGAAAGGAGGCGTCGGAGAATAAACGAGGCTTCGGAAAAATTAAGTAAGGCAATAACTAAAAAGGACTGTTATCGGCAATCGAAAAATCTCATTTTGTACTCTATACTTTCTATAATTAGAAAACATAAAAATACATTCTAAGAGTGCAGAATGAAATTTTTGGAATGCCAAAAATAATTCCCTAACTAAAAACCATATAAGATCCAGCTTTGTCCTTAAGAACGTAAATAACCAAATGTCAAGTTTGACGCAGGACTCTGATACAACTTGAGAACAGATTTAATAGAAGATCGTTGTGTTAAGAGAGCAACGTTATATGTCTACATGGTTCAACCTCTAAGGATGCGTTTGTTTGGTCTCATTAAATGGGACTGGACTGAACTGGACTGGACTACAGTCCCATATTTGATAGATGCTGGGACTAAGTTAAGTGGGAGTAAAGGGGATTCGTCCCAACTAGAGAGCTCGCTAGAGGGTCTTAGCGAGACCCCCCAAAATGAAGCGGACTGCTAAGACCTTCCCTCTTCGCGTCGTCTGCTTCATCTGCTCACATCATGTCCTCTTCCTGCTCCACGACCTTCCCGTCAAATCCTCACAATCCTTCCCCGCACGGATCTTCCTCTCTTTCCCTTGCTCTATCTTTGCACTAACAGCCCCACCCACCACCTGAATTTCAAAATTCGATTACCACCCACAGATGGGTCTGCTCGATCCGAGGTTGAAATTGCTGTCGGTGCCACCCACTCCTTTTCTAGAAGGTTATCTCCCACTTTCTCTGTCGAAGTCTCAACGATGGCTACCGCCATCGCATCACCGACTCAGCTATCTCAGAAGGAGGCTGACATTCAAATGATGTTGGCCGCTGGGGCCATCTAGGCACCAAAATTTGATAAAAAGACGCGTCTTCAAGAGACGCAACAATTGTATGCATCAGATCTCCTCCCTAATTTTTCTCAGATTTACTTATTTTTTGGTAAATATAATATGAAATTTCAGATTTTTGAAAATGTTTTGTTTGGTGTGATGGTGTTTAAAATGGTGGGTTCTTTCTAATTTAAGATGAAATGATCAATTGCATCGTTCGGTATACTGGGTTTGCAGATATATGTGTATATTTTTGCTTGATCTGGTATACAGCTTTAGCATTATTTGTTCTTGTTGGTACATTTTCTATCCTTATTCGCAAAGTCCACATTGATTATTTTTGTGTGAATTTAATTTCTTTTGGGAAAAATTGTGATGGGTTGCTTTGTTGTGGATGGGTTTTCATAACCATGTTTTTTAGTCCGACACTGCACCAAACGTTTCACTAAGCTAATCCAGCTTAGTCTAGTCTAAGCCAGTCCAGTTTAATCCCTGCAGCTAGTCTAGTTCAAGACAGTCCCGTGCAACAAACGCACCCTAAAAATTGATACTTGGCCTATAGGACCCTAGCCTCCAAATCGCCATACTCATGGATCAGCTGCCATCCCTATCTTGCCAAGGGAGCAAGGTTAAATGCATACATACTTTTGAAACCCAAGCCTCCTCCTCTTTTGGGGCACACAAAGTATCCCACTTGAACCAGTGAGTACGACATCCGTCATTAGCTCCATTCCACCACAACGCCGTTTTCATTCGATTAAGGTTGTCACAAAAGGCCTTGGGCACGAGAAAACACCCTACAGTATACATTAAGGAGCCGCCTTTTTGAGCGTTGAAGGCATTTCCATTGACATTCTTTTATCTAAGGCTAACAATCCCTCGACACATAAAAATGAAAATCCCAATCTTACATATCATTAATTACGTCGACCTCAAATCGAATCTTGATCAAAATCCGATCAATTGACAAGTCTAATCAACTCTTTTTTTTCGTTTAATATGATAATAATTAAATCAACTCCAAAGGTTATGTTTGAATTGTTGGAGTTTGAAATGAGATGATAACAATTTGTTTTTTTTAAACAAACGATACTATCTACGTTAAGGGACCTCATAAGGTACTAGCAATAATGTGGTTCAAATTCATTTTTGTTAAAAATCAAATTTAAGACATCTTATTTACAAATAAAGAAGAACACAATTAAACCGTATTATAAGTAGGTGATAACATTTAAATTGCTCACACAATCCTAATCATTTCCGCTACGTAAGTCGAACACTAACGACTTTTAATCAAGTGGACTGGAGTCCGAGAGGCTGCTAAGCCAAATCCAAATGGTTTGCGTCGGCACTCTAACTAGTGGACCCAACCAATTTTCGGACCGGTAAAAAGACCCAACAATCTGTCCCGCCATATTCAGCTGAAACCAGTATCCAAAAGCTTCAGGCGTGCGCCTGTCTCAATCGTTTCAGACTTTCAGTGCGTTTCCAGTACTACCATGGCTTCTTCTATTACCTCTACCCCGCGCGAAGGAGATTCGGTGAACCAATTTTCTGTTCTATTCATACCCTTTACTATACATATATACATATATGTGTATCTGTATATATTTCTTCTGTTTTAATTCAATCCCTATTATTTTCTGTTTGGCTTCTGGGAAAATTAGGAATGGAGCATGGGACATCTTAAAATTTGTATTTCCAATGGTTAAATTCTAATTTTTGATTGTTTTCCTGAATTGGGTCGGAAATAGTTATTGTAGAAATGTGGATTATGTGAAAAATATAGTACGTTTGATTTCAATTCTTGCCTAGTATTTGTCTGAAGCCTTATGTTTTGTTCATGTTATCTGATAGGTTCTGGTACAGAAGAATTTGATTGCGAGGACATTGACATTGAACCGGCCTCGGCAGTTGAATGCCCTTAACTTTGATATGGTATTGCCCTATCATGAACATGTACTTTATTGACTTTGTTGAGAGTTTGAGAGCTTACTCTTTTTCCCGTTTTCATCTTGTGTCTATGTTTTACGATTTATATTTCGTGTCTGTATTATTTTTTATTTGTAACTCAACTTTCTATAATTCAAGTTATGAAATAGATTATACATTTTCAAGGATAAAATTTAAAAGAATGTATACCTCCTCAAACTATTTTTCTAACTTTCTTTTTTACAAAAAAGAAGGTATATACTGTTTTAAGAATCATATCAGCCCTTGAGGTCCCGAGAGGCATCATGTTGAAATCAAAAGTGGAAATGTTTATGGTACAAAAGTATGAAGGGAATGTGGTCTTTCCAAAGTACAAAAGTACGCAGAAATCAAGCAGTAATTCAAGAAATTTTTTGGTCTTCAGACATTCTTTATTCTGAGTCTTTTGTTGCCTGCTTCATCTTTTAATCGACTGTTAGATAATTAAATTAATCTGCATAAAACTATGTCATGCTTTTTCATGCAGTGATATTATCTCCATGGCTATAAGGTGTGTTTAATATAGGTTTTGGTGAAACAAGCATATAATGGTTTTCATTTCTAGTTTCTTTTTTTTTTTTTTTTTTTTTGGTAGATTTCTCGTCTGTTGGAGCATTTTCTTGCCTTTGAGGATGATGCTAATGTCAAGTTGGTAATTGTCAAGGTACTCTTCTTCCATGCTCTAGTTTTATGTATTGTATTTAAACTTTCTCAATGAGAAACAAGAAAGAAGAATATTGTCTTACACATGCAGTTGATCTTTAATTTGGGATATTTGATGTTTGTTAATGTGTAAGCATTTAAGTTATCACTTTTTTTTCACAGACCTATGTTGTGTGCTTACATTTTCTTTTGAGTTTCGTATATAAATATTAGCATCAAAGTCTTTGGCTTGATGTTGTGAACCTACAATCCTGTTAAGATCTAAGCTCGTCTTTAGATTCTGTTCGATTTTCTCCAAGAAAGAGGATTTTAAGTTTATTGGGAGTGCATGTTTCATACCACTTGCAGCCCCACTTAAAAATTCATCCTGATCATTTTGCTTATAAATGGTTGAGAGCATAGAATTTTTACAGTCTCTTGGCTTTAAACCAATACCAACTTGGTATTCTTTTTCATTTTCGGCCGGTTTCAGTTTGCTTGCTTAGTGGCAATCCAAAAGGATGGGGATTTAACCTGAAAACATAATTTATTTTGGTGTATAATGTATTGTGATGGATAGAGGCTGTGCTTTTATCCACTAAAGCTTTGATTGAATTAATAATTGAATGAGCATACTCCTGTTTTCAGCAAGACAGCGAAAGTAAAACATTGTGACATGTGTATGATCTGTTTATCTTTTTCTAGGGGAAAGGAAGGGCCTTTTGTGCTGGTGGAGATGTAGCGGCTGTGGTTCGTCAGATTAATGAAGGCACAACTGCTTTTTTTTCATCTGTCTTTTCTTTTTCTATTTTTATTGAGCATGTTTACTGATCATTAACATCACGTAATGAGCAATAGCTTCAGTTTAGGTGCACACCTAACTGTTATTAGATTTTCCATTTCCAGTTCTGCTTGGCTGTGTGAAAATGTTGAGTATCTATTTGTAAGATGCAGTAAATTACTTTCAACCTGATATCACCCTGTTGCATTATAACTTAGGAAATTGGAGATTAGCTGCTCATTTTTTTCAAAAGGAGTATACCTTGAATTATTTGCTGGCAACATACAGTAAACCCCAGG